GAGTCTCCTTGTGGAGAGAAAATGCGAGATAATAATAATAATAATAATAATAATAATAATAATAATAATAATAATGACAACAGCACAAAACCATGATCATTTACACTATCACCAGGCTGGGCATGATGCAGAATATTTTGCTATTGCATCTTGAACTCTAATACTTCATCCTCACCATAATGGACAAACATTGATATAAACAAGGACAAGTGTATGTTCATTACCCATGTATTTTCTGTTGCTTCCACTTCTATGGAAATATAGATGCACTGAATGACTTCATTTGCGGATTCTTGATTTGATCACAAGGACTGTATATACAAAAATGACTCCATCTGTTGTTAAATTTATCTTCTCCTAGTCCATTAGCTTCATTCAGTTGCTTATCATGTCTCACACTTGTGCTTCTGATGCTTAATCCAATTTCCAGGTTTTCCCATCCTATGTGAGGTGGCTATTTCTAGCAGTACAAGGAACCTTCCACTAACAACCATGAATACTCTGCCCTCAGAGACATGCATCTCAACTTCTTCTGTCTGTACAGCTCCTAATGTTTTCAATGATAGGTAGGGTCCCTCCATTCTATCATTTCACTCTGTGACATGACAGGTTGTCACTTTCTTCAGTAACGTTACATACCACTATAATTGCATGCTACAGTCTAACCATCACTTTAAATGATAGTACAGGAGATCCCTATGCTGGCTTTTGACACCCTTCTTTATGAGAAAGGTATTGTTCCTTAAAGGAAAAAATTCTACCAGAAGAGTGGAGGAAGAGAACAGAAGTGAGGCTGTAATCTTATGCTACATGTAATGCTATGGGACTTATTTGTGGGTGTATTTACTCATGACTGCACATGTAAAGCCTTTAAAAATCTAAAATATGTATACAGTGGTCCATCAAGACCCTCTACAAACTATCTGTCCAGAACAACAAAAATAAATGTAGTCTCAAGCACTTAGTGGGTTATAGATAGTTTGTACAAGCATGGGTTATGGTAACTAATGGATTTAGACTGCATAGTTCTATCACTTTGACACTACTTTGACTTCACAGCTCCATACAAATTTCCATCTTGGGATTTGTAGTTTTGTGAAGAATTCAGCATTCTGTCCAAGATAGCTCTAGTATCTTATCTCACTAAAAAAAAATTCCATAGGATGCAGTTGTGGCAGTTAAAATGGGATCAGATGTTATACTTGTGTAGCATACATTTTTATCAAATACATTGGGTTGCTACAGTGTCTCTGCAAAATACAAAACCCCAAGATTCTATAGGATGCTTCAATAGAGTAAAGAATCATAATGCTATAGAAGTCCGCTTGGTACCCACAGCGTGCTTACAGTGTTGTTGGGGCAAAGGCAAAGAATATGGAAGAGAGGAAGAACATACAGTACTGTAATGGAAAGAAATCCCTGACTCCAGTCCTGAAGAGGAATACAGCTGTTAGAAGCAAGAATACATTGAAAACTTTACCTCTTACAGTCACCACTTTGTATTCATGGATGCTGCATCCAGGACATGAAAACAGGACATTTGCTTTAAGTCACAAATTCCATCTCATTTTCTGTCAATAACTCTAAATACTGTATACATATCCTGGCTCATGAGGGTCCATGTGCATAATTCTACACTGCAGATGCACCCTAAACCGTTTTGCTCTGTGAACTCAAACTCAGATTTTGAAATTCCGTGTTGTGTATCTAACCATTTCTTGTCCTTAAACATTTTGTGGTATGTTCTCCTGGGAAAGTCTTGTATTGCCAAACCCTTGAGGATTCAAGATGTATATTAAGCCCCTAGGCATAACTTTGTGATTCTCTTAAGAATAATTATCTCAATAATTTACATGGTTTTACAAGATCAAATGAAAAACATTTTGAGAAAGGTAAAATTATTTCCTCAATGATATCTTCAAATCCATAATCATGACAAGTTAAAATAACCTTGCAACCGTTTTATTATTCCTCACCCTTCCTGTTATTTGCTCAGGAGTCATACTTTATGCCATTTGCCTGTAGTTTTTAAGTAATTTGTTTTGAAACCTTATATGGTGTGTTTTTGTTACACAACTTAACAGGGAAATAGAGTGTACAGAATATCAATAATCTATTTGAAGGACAAACATGAAGACTAGAACTTTTAAAAATCAATTGAACATTCATTATACAAATGGATGTGAATAGCTGAAAATACTAATTAATTCATCATTCCTTAATTATTGATTTTCAACTCATGTATACTGTGAGACAAGTTCTAATACAATGAAAAATATCTTGTGAAAGCACTGAATTTCACAAATGTGTTGGGATTTCCAAACAGGGAACAAGGCATAACCAACGCTAAGTGGAACAATTTCTGGTATTTACTGTTATATACTTGAACACAAAACCCCTAAGCAGTTAACAGACTTGTGCAGCATAGCTTGGGACTATGCTGCACATAGTCCCAAGCTATGCTGCACTAACCATGACAATTGCATCCACAATGGAGGAGTCTTTATAATTACATACTATCATGCTCCCAATCACCACTTTGGGTTTGCCATGGGGTGAGGGGTGGGGTCCCATGGTTGGTAACCATCTCTCAACAATGCAAGTACAATTTTAGAAGAAAAAAGGAAAGACCCTGTATAATGTAGAGGTTTGAATGTTGAACTCTCCGCTTGGCCCCATAAACCCATTGGGTTATCTTGAGCCAATTATATTCCTAAAGAGAAGAAATCTCAATCATATTGGGGTTCCCAAAACAATTTAAAGATATGAAGCAAAAAAATATATATTACAAGGATTTTTTAATGTATTGTTTTTCCAATTTATACAACAACAAAAAAGAAAACAGAAAAAGAAGAAAGGGGGAGTTATCATTAGTAGATTAAACCATGACAAATATTTAATTTGTCACAAAAGTAGAGGAAAGGCGGTAAAGAAAAAGACAAAGTGTGTATGTATCTACTAGAGTAATGACAGGAGTATTGTTGTCACCAAACAATAAGTCCAATATTGTATCTCCTGTTAGTAAATTAGCATTAAATAAGAAAGAGTTTAATGTATTTAATTATCTTTATTTGTTCCTTTTCTAATGGTACAGAAAATTTATCTACCTCTGTTTAAAAATCTAAAAACAGTAATAAAAGTAAGAGATTTTTTAAAAAATGAATAAAACCATCCTCTTTTCTTCTGCTCCATATAGTAGAAAGGGGGGATATCAAGCAAGTCTCGTAGGTGATATTAATATACTTTGGTGTTACCATAATTTTGCATTTTCAATTCTAGCTGCTGCCATCATGTAAAGAAAAAGTCTTTTCTGTTGTTTTAATACTTGTTTGTCTAAAAATCCCACCTAAAAAAAATCTGGATTCAGCAGGATTTTAATCTTTAAAATAGGTTCAATATCTCTATCTGTATTTATCCAAAAAGTCCACCACAAATGGTAAAATATTCCAGTCTTTTGGTTACATTGTCAGCATAGGTCCGACCTTTTTACATCTGGTGTTATATACCATATTATTGTATAAAACGTTTCTTTGATGGCATAGCTTCTTGTAAATTTAAGTCGTTTCTTCCCGTTCTTCCCATTCTTCTACATTTATTATTCGGCCCACATTTTTTGCACATTGGATCATAGGGTCCTTTACTTGTTCATCCACTATGAAGTCTTTCAGAAGGAATTGATATTGTTTTACTATCTGTTTATCTTTTATCTCTAGCAATAGGTTTCATTTGACTCTCAGATTCCTGTATGTATACCTTTTTTTTATTGCCTAACGAACGTCTTTGTTGAAGCTGATAATAATGAAAGCATGTAATTGCTGGATCTTCTTTCTGCAGATCCTGTAGTGCTTTTAATTTAATTTCTGTGGTGCCCTGTTATCTAATAATGGCCAATAAGTAAATATTCTCTCTTTGGCATTCTTAACGGTGGAAACACAGTGAAACCTAGAATTGCCTATTGTGATTTCATCCATTCCAGTTTTTATTGTAAAAAAAAGTATTTTATATTTATTTCACATTCTTATCAATGAGCTTTTTATCCAGTGTTTCTTAAATCCCAACTTCATATAAATATGTGCCAACCACATCTTAAATCAATGTCTTTGATTGTTAATAATATTTTGGTTTGTTTTTTTAAAAAATCCATTATTTAATCTATGTCCATACAGCTGAATCAGAGTATAGTTCCATTACTCCCTCCACTCTCTTTCACATCTTGTAGGTTTTCATTTTTATTCTAGGTTTTTTTTGTTATTTTTCCAAATAAATTTTGTTGGATCTTTATTCCAGACTTTAAAATATTCATGTTTTGTCAAAATTGGAATTGTTTGAAACAGATTTATCATTTTGGGAAATACATTAATTTCAACTGTCGACATTCTTCCAAGTAGGGACAAGTCCAAATTGTTCAATCACCCTGACTCTCCTCGGGGAGATAGGGTGGTCTATAAATAAAGTATTACTGTATTTCTTTCTATATTTTCTCATAATTATTTTTGATAGTTCAGAGTTATTATTTGTTAGTTGATGTTTTCCCTTAACTTTGATATAAACCTCTTTGATTATCTTGGAGAAAAGGTAGATATGTCTTTAGAAATGCATATGCTTAATGAGAAAATGGTTTGCTTTTGTTAAAAATAACCATCTTACTTTAGCTCATGTTTTCAGTAGTACAAAATAGTTAAACTTAATATAATTGAACAGATCATATAATCAACCAACTACACAAACAGTTTAAATCTAGAACACTTCCAACTGGAAGACTGGCAAATCAGCATTGAGGATATGCGGCTTTCTAGAAATTGTTGGACTTCCAGTCTTATCAACCCTAAATAGCATTACTAATTATGAGAGGTGATGGGAATTGCAATGCATCTAGAAGGGCACACATTCTCTCTTTCTCCCATTAAACACTAATAGATCTTCATAGTGACAAAAGGCTTGTAGTGGCAACACTAAGCACTGCCCAACAGAGGTTTCAGGTAGTAGACAGGAATCTAGGAAAGCTTCCAAGAAAAGCAGATTTTATTTCAAGTACACCCTCTTATTTGCGGAACAGCAGGAACCAAGTTTCTTTGCAATTTCCTTTAGCGTCTCAAATATATAAAATTTGCTTCTTCCATGTTCTTGGATAGTATTGGATAAGATGTAAGCATGTGTGATTCTTTTAAAAGGGTACACAGCCTCAACATTATTTTCCCATATATTGTCAATGACAACACTCACATCCTGATTCTGCTTACATATCAGTTCAGATACTTCTCAGCCATGCTCCTTGCCCATTGCTTCCCTGTTTAAACCACTTACCTCCTGTGGAGGAGGATGGGTAAAATGAAGGAAAGTAGGGCTAAGAGAAATATGTGTCCTTCTCTTTCCAACACAGTTAAGCAAAAGGGAGCAGGAAGGGGAGGCAACCAACAGGGCAACTCATATCCCTTTCAATCCCATTAGCCAGCTGTCAAAGTGACTGGTTAGTCTGGCATACTGCTGAAGAAAATGAATTAAAAAATGACCTGACATAACTGCTAGGCCTGGTAAATCTAAATTTAATCCCAACTGCACCAGCAGTCTCCCTCATAAAAACATGGGTGTCAAGGTTGAAAGGGACATGATTTTATGTCAAAACAAAATAATCTTCCCTACTACTTCAGAATATTATTGAATCAGGACTTAAACATTCCTAACACTATGTTTACATAAGAATTGCATACCAAATAACATCATGTTTACAATGTCTATCCAGTGTGGATGAGTTAAAAATTCTGGATAGATACTAACAATCCGCTCAGCATGTTTGCTATCCATATAACGTTCTTCAAATTTATTCTAATAAAGAAGAAAATCAAAGATGCCAACATTTCAAAGCTTATTTGCAAATCTGTATTCCCTTGCTAAATTCCACTGTACAAATAAAATGATTACTTTTATGTAGACAGCATGATTCAACAATACAATCTGTAAAAGATATAAAAAATAACATAGAACACAAAAACTGAGCCCCAAATCAATTTACCATTTAAATTTCATGGCAGTTTATAATGAGCATACTCTGAATTCATCCATTATCAGCAGTAAAAGAAATAACAAGGAAATTATTCTCTTTGGAAAAATAAACTTTCACTGCATTTTAACATTAACAAAAATATTTCAAGAATTGGCTTTTACAGACTATGGGCCTGTCTACATAGGCAACAAAAACCATGCTTGCCTCATACATGTTCTGATCCTTTGTGATTATTCATTTGTAAATGATTTCCTTGGACTTTAATCAATTGGGGCTTTTTATTTTTAAAAAAACTTGCCTTTTATCCTAAAGTTTTACAGAAAATCTGCATTTCTAGACTTGTGGCCAGTCTTTCAGGTGGCGTTGCTTCACTGTATTGTTGTGGGAGGAGTTAGTGGCGGGTGGAACTAGTTGGTGGGAGGAGAGCATTCCTATCAGGGAAGGATTCTTTTTTCCTAGGTTCCATTTTATTTTTATTTTTAAAAAGAAAATTATGTCTGCAGATAGCATTGCTGCATCTCTCTTTAATCGGAAATAGGGTTATTCATGACAGGAAAAAACTCTAAAGCACCTATGGCTTTGCGACCAAAATAATGCAAAATAAAAATGGAAATGCAGATGGCCTCCAAATAGCAAGGCACATTCTGCCAGGGGAAAAGCATGGTCAGTTATGGTGACTTCACTCCAACGTATGTGGTATTAAAGGCATCACTGCAGGATCAGTGTGGACTGGGAAAATACTGTGTCAAACAGATTTCTTTTTATCAGTGTAGACAAGCCCATAGAAAGCTAATGTATAATTCACATTTTGCAGGGCTATATTGGCAAACATTAAAAACCTGAATAGTATTTGTGGATTGCTAAAGCATTTTTTTCCTATGGAGTACCAGAATGTTGAAGATAAAAATACCTGAAAGCTTACAATGTGATAATATAATATCAATTCACAGTATCTATCTACCAATCAAGCATCTTAGTTCTTTTAAGCACTTATATGAATAGATCGTCTGTCTTGTGTAACCACACATTGAAATAAGAGGAAATCCTTGTTCATCTTAGCTAATAGAAGCTTCTCCAAAGAGCAAAGGTTCCATGGTCTTCAATTTTTCTGTGATCACTTACAACTTTGGAGATTAGAACATAAGTTCACACTGATCCAGTTTTCAAAATACACTTTGGTTCTTCATGATCACCCTGGGAGCACAATGATATCATTTCACTTATATCACTTAAAGTCATCTGATCAGTGTCTTCTTTCACTCAAGTGTTTCCTTCTTTGATAAAACAATTCTTAAAGTTAACTTCACCAAGAAGCAAAGCTGGTACTATTCTTGTATATAAACTTTAAATGCATGTTTTCTCTTCCTGAAAAATACAAAAAAAAAAGAATTCATAGAATATGCATTACACACAAAACCAATAGCAATGTGTTTGCTCTATTTTTAGAACTACTGGTAGAACATAAATGTATTTCTTTTGTACAATGCTTGGAGAAATTAACTTTAAAAATCTAGTTGCTGGATCCAGTCACAAAAAAAGTAAGGGAGATGATAACTAACAGTTGTGTACTGTCAGCAGTTGTAAAAACACTAATGCAACAACATACCTAGATACCATTTACTACAACAAAGACATCCTGAATTTGCTTTGTACATGGTTGGTAAAAACAGGAATAAAGTACTAGATCTAACCCATTATGTACCACAATGATAGGAGCCCCCGCTGGCGCAATGGGTTAAACCCTTGTGCCAGCAGGACTGAAGGCCGACAGGTCGGAGATTCGAATCCAGGGAGATGAGCTCCCTCTGTCAGCTCCAGCTCCTCATACAGGGAGAATGAGAGAAGCCTCCCACAAGGATGGTAAAACATCAAAACATCCGGGTGTCCCCTGGGCAACGTCCTTGTAGATGGCCAGTCCTCTCCCACCAGAAGTGACTTGCATTTTCTCAAGTCGCTCCTGAGACACACACAAACAAACCACAATAATATGACAGAAACTTCCCACTAGCAGAGTAATACCACTAAATAAAATCTTAGGACTTTCTTTAGTAAGTTTAATTTCCATACTATGGAAAAGAAACAGAATATGAACACTCACTTTTTTCCAATTACAAAAATGGGCTTCCAAACTGTTCTTGCAGAAGTTTCTCCATTATTGAAATGCTCTGTGAAGGAGAAAATATATAAATGTTATCATAGTTGATTACAGATAAGCCAGTCTTCAATTTCAGGACATCTGCAGCACTAGAAAGAGTAATCTTAGTCTTTATGGCTATGTAATTAATTTTTTTAATACTACTGGCTGCCTAATAACAGATTTAGGTACACATTTAGGGGTATTTTGCATACAGAAATCCCTAGCTTCATTTCCTAAAATATATGTTTAAAAGTTTATGCTACATGTGATGAGAAAGACACTGGACAGAAAGTTGGAGACCTTCTGCCAATCAGAGTTCAAGAATGTCAATTATGGGCTGGAATATGGAATTTTTAAGAGCTGTGATGATAGATGTTAGATAATTTATGTTAGAATTTATGTTAGAATTTGAAAAGAAAAGGTACACAAAGGCATAAAGTCACTAGGAAATAATAATGCTAGTAGTAACCAGTAATGCTTATGGAAACTCCTAATCCATCAGAAGGGAAATCTCTGAGCATATCAACTATTACAGACTAAAACCAGGAAATGGCTGGATTCCAGTAGTAGTTACTGTAGCTCAGACATGTCCTCAAGAAATTATGATTTATTCTAGAAATAATGCTGTCCTTCTTTTGGCAGACCTTTATTGTCTACAAACAACCTCCCAATCTCAACCATTCATTTATTAACTGGAAGAACACACAATATGGATGATGAAAAGGGTACCAGACTTTGCAACAACCAAGCTGCCAACTCTGCCCATGCATCTACTCAGGAAATGTAATCACAGGAGCTAATCACATCACCCACAGTATTAGAGGTATTTTCTCATTTCGTAATATAATATATGCCACCCTTTATTAACAATGCCTTTCAGCACTCAACTTCGAGCAAACAAGACAGTCTCTGTACCAACTAATAAATGGACATAAATCAGACATTAGGAATGGGAATACAGTTGAAGAGCTTTAAAATTTCCTGGACATTTCATCCCTGACCTCAGAACAGCGATCCTCAACCAAAAAGACTACAAAGAAAAACTGGAAAGAGAAGTAGCTGAATTGAAATATATCCGCAAACCACAATCCATTGAGTGGGAGTTGGAAAGTAACAATGATCATATTATAACAATAGTTGACACCCCAATTATTTATTATTTATTTATTACGGTTGCTTATACCCCGCCCTTCTCACCCGGGGGGACTCAGGGCGGCTTACACAAACAAGGCACAATTCGATGCCTGTATTACAAAAACATAACATCAAAACATAACATCAATAACAACAATAATTATAACACTGATAACAATTAACGTAAACAATCAATATTATCGGCAGGAATAGCCATAAACCAGTAAAAAAAACAATTAAAACAATAAAAACAATACAAACCTCATTGCTGGTCAGCGTTTAACCGACTCATAGTTAGGTTCTACTTTCCACACATTGTTGGTCCTATCATTCTGGTTCCATGTCTAATTGTCAGGGTGCCCAAAGGCCTGGTCCCAGAGCCACGTCTTTACCTTCCTCCTGAAGGCAAGGAGGGAAGTTGAAGCCCTGATTTCCCCCGGGAGTGAGTTCCACAGATGAGGGGCCACCACTGAGAAGGCCCTGCTCCTCGTCCCCACCAGCCTCACTTGTGATAGCGGTTA